TAAGGCAATGTCTCGACCTCTACCAAATAAATATTGCTTCCTGGACTTGTGCCAGGCGCTCTATGTTTCTTGCCATTATCTCCATTTTCCCCAGTAGATCCAGCTGCGTCGCCATCTGGTCTCTCTGCTTCTTCACCTCTTCCAATTCTTTCGCCGCCTCACTTGCCGCCTCATTCTCCTTTTTCTCTCCCTCATTAATCAGAACTTCCACTTCATCCTCTTCTCATCCTCCATCGCTTGCCGCTTGAGTGGGTCTTCTTCTGCATCCCACTCTCTCATGGCCACCTCTTGTTCTTCCCTAGGCACATACATCAGTGCCTCTTCTTCTTCCCCCGGGGACAAACCAGCAAGCCATTCTGTAATTTTCTTCTCCATTTGATCTTCTTTCGTGCCACTGGATTCACCTCTTCCTCCTGCCCTTCGCCTTTCCAGTGGTTGTTCTTCTCCTCTTCCTCCTCTTCTACCGCCTTGAGCTTCTCTTCTTCTTCTCTCTTTAGCCTCTCCCTCTCTCTGGCCATCTCCTCCTCAATCTTTCTCATTTTCGCCGCCTGTTCTTCCAGCAGGGCCCTCTTCTTGGCCTCCTCCTCTCTTTTCTCTTTCAGGAGGGCGGTGGTTTTCGCCTCCTGTTCTGCTGTGTAAGGGGGGGTGCTCTATCCACTACGCGTGTCAACCATGGTGAAAGGTGCACAACCAAGTGACAGTTCCGCTCCTCACCACTTAGACTCTCCCCCTAACTGACTCAACTTAAGATTGACTCGATCTATGGACCACAGGGTTCGTAGAGAGCCCTGTCAACTATGGTTTCTAGCCTAGACTCTAATCACTACAGTCATTACTACAGAACCTGTTGCTGACCAGGAGGCATTTAAGGAGATCCCCCGTAACTGCTCAGGACGACGCGGTCAGCAGACAGGACGACGCGGTCAGCAGGTTCTCTCAAGACTTAAACGACTCATTGTGCAGCCCACAACTCGAATTTTGGGCCTACTGTGCCACACCGAGCAGCCCGCCGGTCAGTACCGGTCCTTGGGAGGGTTCGTGTCCCCCGGGACAGTCGAGTCGTCAAACACAGTCTTTAGCCCTGCTCAGCCCGTGTGGGTTTGGTCAACGAGGCCCTATCCTTCATACACGGAGTCCTATCACCTGGACAGAAGAGACTCAATGCAGAAAGAAGAGACAAACAGACTCAGACTCAGCAAGTACCATAG